TTCATCAATAATACGTCCCTGACTATGCATGAACATAAAATCTGTCAAAGCTAGCCGGAAATCGGCTAAAACGGTCACTGTAGACAGGATTTGACCTCGGCAACACGTGCGCTGCGCGGGCTGACTGACATACGATATGTACAACGTACGTACAACGTACGTGTATGTACATGTACATGTACATTGTGGACGTCCTGTGCATGTTTTCAAGCAGAGGTATTGTCAACCTGAAGTTTTAAGCGTGCGCAGGGCATGTCTGAGTTTGCTTATTGCCTCGAAGCTTTGAAATGTTTTAGACCTAACCTTCAATAGACAATTAAAGTAAAAACTAATATAAAAACTGCCATGGTTGATTTTTCAGGAAGTTTCTAAGGAAAAAGGGTCTTTTCATTATAACTTCCGGTCTGATGACGTCATACGCCTAAAACTTCGCACACGTCTTAAGTGGGTCAAGGCCATTATATACACCAATATTTAGGCAATTCCGACAAACTTCGCCACAGACATCTATTCAAAATACATTTTTGAAAATTTTCAACCTGTCGCTAGAGGGCGCTCGAAGATTGCATGACGTCAACGGTAAATGATTTGAAGAATACTATTGGCCAAGAGACTAACACCGTTAAAAGCAAGTTCATATCTATTACCACTTTCAAATAATAAGCCACTTCCGGTTTTGGCCTTTTTCGACCGGAAGCAAGGGTCACGTGATTTCACGCACACTGAATGAAATAAAAACCTCAACCTACTCTACCACTTGCCGGCAACAAAATGCTGCGGACGCGTACGGTTGATTTCTTATGAATTTTTAAATATTAAAAGTGTCACAATTTAATTGCCTATAAAATAAACACTGGATGACGTCATCATGACGTCATCATTACACAATGTTGTTTGATAGGGGGTCTTTGCTTGGACAAAGATTGGTGTAAATGAATTACTGGCAAAGAGTCGAAAATGCCCTCTGAAAATTGACATTTTTAAAAAAAAATCTGTGTACAAAGTCTATGGGAAAAATTAAATATTCAAAATTCTATAATAAATCACGTGATGACGTCAGCATGACGAAAAGTTTCGGCACACATCCTCAGATGATGATTAATAACTATGCTGAGTTTAAAGTTGATCGGATTTAAAATAATTGCCGAAGTGGCTTGTAGAATAAAAACGTGTACAAAACCTATGGGAAAAGTGGAAAAAGAAAAAAAACTAGAGGTCTATGTCTGTTTGCAACAGAACATAGGGCTTTTCCGCATTATGATTTTTTTTAATCAATAATACCCTGAATATGCATGAACATAAAATCTGTCAAAGTTAGCCGAAAATCGGCTAAAACGGTCACTGTGGACAGGATTTGACCTCGGCAATACGATGTATGTGCGTGTGCACAAGGTCTTTGCTTGGACAAAGAGTGATCTAAATAAATTACTGGCAAAGGGTCGAAAACAATCTTTGAAAATCGACAAATATTTTTTAATTTGTTGATGACGTCATCGTGACGTCACTTCGAACTTTGCATACTAGTATGATTAACTACCTACCCACCAAGTTTCATGACAATTGGACCTTTCCTTATATGAGTTTTGCAAAATCGCATTTTGATGACGTCATGATGACGTCACACATTTTTTTCAAGTTTTGTGCAAATAGCTATTACATAACAGACCAAATGCAAAAAAGAATTTTGCATTTTGCATGTTGCGTTCGGGAGATATGGCTAAAAGGTCCAAACAAATAAATATTCATATAAAATCTCAGGATGATGTCATCATGACGTCACCTCATTTTTAATCTATAACACATCCTGGTATAGCCACTTACCAAGTTTCAACCCAATCGGACTTACATTTCTGTAGATATAAGACTTCACAATATGTAGGTAAATTTTCAAAAATCAATAAAGAATTAGGTGATGACGTCATCGTGACGTCATAGTCTTAGCATAATTTTTGTATGAGGTTCTTTCTTGGCTGTAACTTTGATGACGATTCCAGATCGCCAAAATACGAAAATGGTGGCTTGAAAACGTGTACAAAGTCAATAGGTTAAAAATCCCACAGCAGAAAAACTGCACCTTTAAATGCGTGATTTTCCTTTAAACTGAAACATTTTTATAAAATATTACTTGTTATTCTAACTCTTGGGAATATTTTCAATCAAATGAAAGGCGTAAAAAATACGATTTCTTTTTCCTTCTCATAGTAATTCTCAGCCGAAGTTCAGAACTACTCAGTAAGATATATCAGTGTTGTATAGGAAAAGACTTGTGGAGAAAGCTGTGTACAAAGTCTATGAGCAAAATTAATTATTCATGAATCCATAATAAATCATTTGATGATGACGTCATCATGATGTCATAGTCTTGGCATAATTTTTGTATGAGGGTCTTTCTTGGCTGTATTTTTGATGACGATTCCAGATCGCCAAGTTATGAAAATGGTGGCTTGAAAACGTGTACAAAGTCAATAGGTTAAAAATCCCACAGCAGAAAAACTGCACATTTAAATTAGTGATTTTCCTTTAAACTGAAACATTTTTATAAAATATTACTTGCTATTCTAACTCTTGGGAATATTTTCAATCAAATGACAGGCGTAAAAAAATACGATTTCTTTTTCCTTCTCATAGTAATTCTCAGCCGAAGTTCAGAACTACTCAGTAAGATATATCAGTGTTGTATAGGGAAAGACTTGTGGAGAAAGCTGGGTACAAAGTCTATGAGAAAAATTAATTATTCATAAATCCATAATAAATCACTTGATGACGTCATCATGACGTCACTCTTCGGGACACATCTTTGCTATAGGGACTATGCTTATGCCAACTTTCAATGATGTCTGACAAAGATTAATGCCCAAAGTGATATAATACGTCCCTGTCTATGCGCATGCATGAACATAAAATCTGTCAAAGTTAGCCGAAAATCGGCTAAAACGGTCACTGTGGACAGGATTTGACCTCAGCAACACGTGCGCTGCAGGCTGACTGACATACGATGTATGTGCCTATGTACAACGTACGTGCATGTACATGTACATGTACATTGTGGACGTCCTGTCCTGTGCATGTTTTGAAGCAGAGGTATTGTCAACGTGAAGTTTTAAGCGTGCGCAGGGTATGTTCGAGTTCGCTTATCGCCTCGAAACTTTGAAATGTTTTAGACCTACCCTTCAATCGACAATTAAAGTAAAAACAAATAGAAAAACTGCCATGGTTGATTTTTCAGGAATTTTCAAATGAAAAAGACTCTTTTTATTATAACTTCCGGTCTGATGACGTCATTTGCCTAAAACTTCGCAAACGTCTTAAGTGGGTCAAGGTCATTATATACACCAATATTTAGGCGATTCCGACAAACTTCGCCACAGACATCTATTCAAAATACATTTTTGCTAATTTTCAACCTGTCGCTAGAGGGCGCTCGAAGATTGCATGACGTCATCGGTAGATGATTTGAAGAATTCTATCGGCCAAGAGACTAACACCGTTAAAAGCAAGTTCATTTCTATTACCATTTTCAAATAATAAGCCACTTCCGGTTTGGGCCTTTTTCGACCGGAAGCAAGGGTCACGTGATTGCACGCACACTGAATAAAATGAAGACCTTAACCTGCTCTACCACTTGCCGGCAACAGAATGCTGCGGACGCGTACGGTTGATTTCTTATGCATTTTTAAATATTAAAAGTGTCACAATTTAATTGCCTATAAATAAACACAGGATGACGTCATCATGACGTCATCATTCCACAATGTTGTTTGAATTAGGGTCTTTGCTTGGACAAAGATTGGTGTAAATGAATTACTGGCAAAGAGTCAAAAATGCCCTTTGAAAATCGACAATTATTTTTTAATTTCTGTGTACAAAGTCTATGGGAAAAATTAAATATTAAAAAATCTATAATTAATTAGTCGATGACGTCACCATGACGTCAATCTTCGGGACACATCTTTGCTATAGGGGCTATGCTTATGCTAACTTAGAATGATGTATGACAAAGATTAATGCCAAAAGTGGCGTGTAGAATAAACGTGTACAAAGTCTATGGGGTTTTGGGAAAAAAAGAAGAAGAAGAAGAAGAAGAAGAAAGAAAAAAAATCAGAACAAAAAGAAAGGCTTTTCCGCAACAATGCGGAAAAGCCAAAAAAAAAAAGGAAAAAAAAAAACTTTAACGAAAACAATAGCTGTTCCCAATTGAAATTGGGAACAGCTAACAAGAGCTGTTTCGGTGTGTACACCGAAACAGCTAAAAAAAAGGAAAAAAAAAAACTTTAACGAAAACAATAGCTGTTCCCAATTGAAATTGGGAACAGCTAATAATAATAATAAAACAAATGAAAGGTACAACAATTATTACCAGTTGAAAATTAGCTGAATATTGACTCAAATAATTTTCAAAGAACGCGTGTTTAAATTGTGTTGTTTATTTTTGAATGATCGAAATTGCGTCGGAAACATAAACATTTTAACTGTGGTAATTGCCCTTCCGCAATGTAGTTATATGAGCTCTCTATGCTTAGTCCTGTCGTAGAGCTTGAGAAAGAAATGAAAAATCTCACTCAGGTGCGATAATGTTTTTTTTGTACACAGTTGTGCACATCAAATCACGAGTAACTGCAAACTATATAATTTCGTCACAATGACCCGATTCAGAAGACAATCAAAAACTGATTGCATACCAAAAGAAAATTAGTCATTCAAAACAGCACATATGTGGAATATTAGAATTACAGGTTTGGTTCTGGGGATTGAAGCTGTCTAAAAAATTATTCACTTCTTAGTATTTTAAAAATGTTTATTTTTACTTTACAAGTGCCGATTCTGAGGTGCTGGAGTAACCACATAGCTAAAACTACATCAAACGTTGCCCAACTCCACTGCTCATGACAATTAGTCAAACCTTTTGCACAGTAAGATAGGTAAAAGCATGTGCCGTGCTTTTTGCAATCCAGGTTTATTTTATCTCTTTAAAGCTTTCCAACTACTTCAGAGAAATACACTTATTTGAAATCTTTACCTTGATTGCATACGGCAACCGGGGAAGACCACGTGAAGTCTGATCGACAATGTCTTGTAGTGGACCCGCTGAGGTGATATCCGTCAGGGCAGGCATATTCGACTGAGTCACCAGGAAGGTACACAGTCCGATTGCCGGACACCACGATGGGGACATCGGATGAGTTGAAGATCAGCTCGCAGTTGGCAACTGACCATAAAAAATTCACAATAATACTCTCAGGAATTTATCTTTTTGTTACTTTGTCACAAAGAAACAAACAACAAACAAACAAGCAAACAAGCAGTAAGATCATAATTATAAAGTACATTTGTAATTTTTAAAACGAACTGAGCCATTTTGCAAGCTAAATTGTTTTATGCAAACTAAACTGATATTTGTTCCTTTTTGAATACGCACGACTGCGATGGTTGCTTTGGAACGTAGTCGAACGTCACCACATTCAGAGAAACAGTTGCAACTGACTAACCTTAAATAGTTCGGTGAGTACATGTAATTGTAAAAACCTATTAACAAGAGTACTGAAATGACTGTTTTACCATTTTCACACGTCATCCCGTCGTACCCTGCAGGGCATAGGCAAGTGTACTCGCCGGGTGCACTAGTGCACGTACCCCCGTTCACACAAGGTCCAGCGACACACGAGTCTATTTTACGGGAAAATGATAATGTCAAACACTTGTGGGTGGGTGGGGCAAGGTAAAAAAAAACATTACAAAAGGTAGATCTTTTGACTTGCCAGTATTCCGATGCACGTTTCTTTTAACTTCTTCCCCAATAACAGACACACTATTGACTATATTATATATTGTTATGGATGCATACATGAAATGAAATAAAGACTGCTATTGTCAATTTTTGACAAAAAGTATTGATGCTCCTGTATGGCCATAAGATTTGTTCTTATTTCAAAAACTTAGTCTGACTTGAATGAGGGCAAGTTTCTGTGAAATAAAGACTGCAAGGATTTGTAAAGAAGACCTGTAATGCATTCAGCTGGCTGTCCAGACCATGTTAAGTTAGACTGACAGAACCGTGAAGCAGACCCGCTGATGTGATATCCGTCGGGGCAGGCATACTCAATTGCGTCACCAGGAAGGTATACAGACTGATAACTAGATACCACCATGAGGACATCGGATGCGCTGACAGTGAGCATACAGCCATCGGCTTTATAAACAGGGATAAAACAGAATACAATTGTAATTCGGTTAACAATTTAAAATGCGAGGACACTTCTCTATACCGTCGCTCTCCGGTTTATATTTAGCTTACCACATCGGACCCCAGCATCCTCGCCATGCCCGCAAGAGTGACTCCCAAGTCCTGGGTGCTCGCAATCTAACACTGTTTGCTCGCTACCGACGCAGTTAAGAGAAGACAGAAGTATCTCCTGCCCGTCACCCTGACCGAAGGCTGCTCTTCCCAATGCTTCCGTTGCTCTCTCGTAGCCTAATTGCCGGCAAACGACATTTGCATCGGTTAGATCCCAGCCATCATCGCAGACCGTTCCCCAGGCACCATTCCCATACACCTCCAGACGGCCTTCGTTGGGACTAGAACCACCTACCAAACGAACTGTGAATAAAATGTACGGTACTTATTTTACTGCCAGTTTACGTATTAAACCATTAACCAACGGTGTTTTCTGGTTTCTGGTCGGCGTGGGAATCGAATAACCTGTGCGTAGGCAAAATCAAAAATTAATTTGTTCGATATGGAACATATCAAAATATTGTCAAAACTGCTGAATTGACTAAAAATACAGGCAGCCTTTTGACAATGTCGTTGCAATTGACAGCTTCGATAAGTGTCGTGGTACAACATCATGTCATACAATGTATTACCTCGAGGTTGACAAATGACACCTGCGTCTTCGCTGTGACCACAGTCATTGACTCCAATTCCATTATGCGAACAAGAGGGCAACTGAAGTTCAAATCCAGAACACATGACATCGTCAAGAAGAATGGGTCCGCTTCCACTTCCATAAGACCCTCCTGGTGTAGCCTCGGCGGCACCGGGGAAGCCCAGCTGCCTGCAAGCCACCTTGGCGTCCTCTAGTCCCCAGGAGTCATCACAGACTGTGCCCCATTCACCATTCAGAAAAATCTCCAGTCGGCCCTCTGCAACGCTATGATTGCCAACAAGACGGAGAATGCCTGAAGAAATATAATGTGAAGAGACACGTTCGTGGTCATATCATCAGACACACATTCTGCTTCGGATCTCACGCCCTCGTCTCCCCTCTAGTTCTCTGATTATCCTGAATTGTATTTCATTCCAAAGGGGATATGTGAATAAACTGTGACAACCAGAATCTAGCAAAAGACTACAAGTATTTGTATTCGTGAACATGAGAACAATCTGTTAAGGCAGTTCCAAAATCCATTAACTTCCTTCAACCCCAACATACAGGGTGGATAAAAAAAACAAAACAAAAACACAAACAAACAAACAAACAAAAAAACAAACACCCCAACAAACAAACAAACAAACAAACAAACCGAGATATCATTGCTAATTATAACAGAAGTAGGGCATATGTGAATCAAAGGGAGATATCCTATGTTAGGGTTGAATCTCCTCTTTAAAATGACACCCTGATCATGTCCTTAAATTCACTGTTGACTGAGCAGTGACCAATTTTATGAAAGGGTCTATTCAGAGAATTGCGCCACTTTTCATTGTAAAATCTCTCTTTTTCCCATCCTGCCTTGATTGGCAACCACAGCCTTTCATTCGGTGACAATGACACCACAAAAACCACAATTGAAAAGTGACGCAATTCTCTAAATATACCCTCAGATAAAATTGCTCACCGCTTAGTCAACCGTGAATGTAAGGGCATGATCAGGGTGTCATTTTAACTAGGAGATTCAACCCTACCAGAGGCCTTTGATTCACATGTGCCCTACTTCTGTTCCAATTAGCAATAATATCTCTGCTTTGTTTATATTTGATCAACCCTGTACATATACAAATGATAAGAATTAGACTCGCAGTTGTAGGCGGCCTTTAATTGGCCCAAAAGAGACTCAAAAACAACTCAAACATATTTCAAAAATACCAATCATAAGCGCCACACATTCGTCTTACTATTGTGTGTATTTATTGCGCGAAATAAGACAATGCTATGCAGGAGATGTGTCCCTGAAAAATAAATCAAGCCAAGAAATTAACAAACTTTGGTAGCAAAAGGAGTATCAAATTGTTGCAGACATCATTCCCCAAAGATCTATGTAAATGACGTTATCATACGACGATCATAATTCAAAATGATAACCCCTCAATGAGTGTGAACTGTCTGCTTTTGCGGTGTATATATTCGATTTTAAGCACGCATGCACGGAAGCATGCAAAGAGACAAGAAGCACAAATGCTCCATTATGCTTGTTAAAAAAATTATATCTTCAGGGGCACTTCTCAAACTCTATACATGTATTTTGTGTTCGCCGTTTGAATCCTGAACATACTTCCACATGCACTCGAAGAAAGGGGCAGAATAAATACATAAATAAACTATAGGTGTGTACTTTCTTTGTTACCTGACTACCTGTGGAATTATTTCAGTGACGAAAAACATCACGGGCTTGAAAGTAACTGCACGCCTATTTCGATGAGTTGCGTCGCAGTGGCGAGACATATAATATAACTTTAACATGCTGTGATGAAACATTCGAACAAAACGAGTTACAAATAGGCTATATACTCCCGCCGACTGATGATAAAACTCAAAAATCTTTTCCATGATTTATCATAATAATTCAGTCCACCTCTTTACACATGTTGGTTGTATTATGAAGGTTTCCAGCCTTCAAACAGCAACAACTCGAACACAGTCTGAGATGTATGACCATTTTCCAAATGTGCCCACAGCCTTGAATATATACTAGCGAATAAGTACGTACCCATGTTACAAACGACCCCTGCATCTTCGCTGTGACCACAATTGTGGTCACCAATCTCATTTTGCTGACAACTCAGCAGGTTATTCTCGAGACCGGTGCACTCAACATTGTCGAGGAGAATTGAGCCGCTTCCAATTCCAAATGATGACCCTCCTTGAGTAGCATCGGTAGCGTCAGGGAAGCCCAGCTGCCTGCAAGCTACCCGGGCGTCATCTAGGTCCCAGAAGTCATCACACACCGTGCCCCATTCACCGTTCAGGTGAACTTCAAGTCTGCCTTCGTTACTGGTGCTACCGCTAACCAGACGTAGATCGACTAACGAGTAAATTGAAAAAAAATTATATTATGTCATACGTACATCAGTATGGCGCGTGGCTATTTTAGGAGATTTGAAGTCGTATGTAACGTATTAGGAAGTCCCAATGTAAAATTCAAAGACATGCTCTTCACCAAGAATGTCAAGCTTGTTACCTAAACGAGCTTTTCCCGCTACTATACCTATAACTGCTACGATTCCACCATGCATGGAGGCGACTTTTGTTTTCTCCCAAACGCCATCCACATATGGTTGTACACTATGGCGTTTACTGTCAAAGTAAAAACTGATAGCTAGCTTCTTGCAGTTAATTCATAGACTGAGGTTGGTGCGGGATGACTTATAGGTATCTGCATTCGATTGAATGGGTACGATTTAACACGGATATACGAGTTAACCTTTTCCCTACATTCGCTGTTTAAATTTCACGGGCAGGTACGGTAGCGGCGTATAATGCTGTTGCACCGACAATAAACGTCGGCGGATAAACTGTCTCGAACTGTCGAATTCGAAATACATTGGATATGCTATCATTATTTTTTAACAAGTGTTAATTCAATGTGGCGGCACATTTCACTTGTTTAGAAAAGAAACTGGATAAATGGTTTGAAAGTTGGAATAAAATACCTGGACTATGGACATTTTTTTTGTTTTTGTTTAGTCAACATAGTTACGTAAGTGGTGTATACACTTTACTGGCTAATATGTTTGTCGCGGGTCAAAGTTAACGGGCCTTGATTAGATGTCTTGTATATGCACATCGATAATTCCTTGCAAATTTGGCCGAAAAGGTAAAGACAAACATAAGGAGTTTGCCACGGTAGCGTCAAGGCTTTCTTCGCCTCGACTTTTCGTACGGCTGTTAACGGATTTGTGTCGGGGCGTTTGTGCAAACAAAGCAAAAAAAAGGGGTCGTTGAGGGTAAATTACGGTAGTACAACTAAAAGTGTGCGCGCCGCGTGTGGCAACCGCAAAAAAAAGGTTTCGTCTGTGCATAGTGTGGATCCGGTTCGTGCCAGTTTCAACTTAAGCCCCTGTCACACTTTCGCGTATCTTAATTCCTTACGAGTTCCTTATCAAAAATTTTCAATACGCAGCCATACGCTCAAAACGTCGAATTTTTATTAATACTTTGACTTATGTGCGACGCACATCTAGCGTACAAGTACCGAATTCAGCGCATCCATTGCGTATGAGATGCGTATGAGTTGCGTATGCAGTGCACAACATTATTTTTCGGGCTGCGAATAGGTCAGTATGCAGTGCGCATGCCTAGCGTATTCCGGACGCACCCGACTTATGCATGCATACGCACTTTTGAGCGTATTCCCGCCGCATTTCCACCGCTCGCCGTTCAAAGTGCGTTGCATCTGCGCTGCAAGTACGCTATGTATACGTCCAATACAGGCGGCTCATATGCTGACGGGATGCGTCACGAACACATAGCGTACTCGTAACGCACTCGACCGATGCGGGACCGATGCGCTGCGTATTTATAACTTATGACCTGCGTAACAGCGTACGCAGCGTAGTTTTGTGCATGCCCAAAACTATCCTGCGTACTTGGCCGTACCATTCGTATATCTGCGTACATAAAACATATACACAACGATAGAGATGCATATGAGGTGCGTATTGTGCGTATGACTGCGTATGAAAAAAAGTCAATGCGCAACTCATAAGGAATTAGGATACGCAGAAGTGTGACAGGGCCCTTAGCGATGCTAGTATCTTACCACCTTTTAATGTGGAAACTAGTTTCTTAGTTACATGTATTTTTAAACAAATATCGACGAGCAAACAGCGCGTGTGTGCGCGCCGTGTCATGCTGCATCGAAATCCCCCCCCCCCCCCAAAAAAAAACACCTCACGAATGTTTAGAGAATAACTTTACCAATATTTACCGGGTTGTGGAGAAACTAGTCCAAAAGCGGAAAAATAAGGATTACTTAATATCTGTATTTAATTATATATTATTTACACATTTCGTTTCAAATGAAAATTCGTTGACACTGTCTCGTATATGTACTCTTAGTAAAAGGGGCAGACCTAATACAAGTTTCGTCTTTTTGTCTGACCTCCTCATACTATTATTTCAAGTTCTGTTCGAGTTGTTTCGCTTTCATTTTACTTCCTTGAATTGTAAGTGCAAAAATATAGGCATAAGCCCTTTTGTACATTGCTGAAGCTGTGGCTTGCATGGTTGATGCATACCGAGTACAAGCTGTACGAGCTCTACACTGCTGATGCTGTTATACACTTCTGAACTTTTTGCGCACAGTGGATTCTGTTCCGCATTGCTGACGCTGTCGTGCATTGCTTATGCAAGCAGTATTTAAGGATCATCCCTAATAAGAAAGTATTCTGTAGGATAGTACTATGAGTGCAAGTACGCCAAACAATACTGCTTTTTGACCGGATTCTGACCATTCATAGTGCGTCTTCTATCGCGTTATGGGTAATCCGATAGTGTACGACAAAGACATGGTATAATAACCAATCAACAGCTTTGATCGAATTTATTTCTGCTCTAAATGAGGTGACAACTTCTTAAGGCGGCTTCAATTAGCTGGCGCGCGAGGTTGCATGAAATTTGCACGCACGGATGTAGGCCTATCTGACGTTTGAAGTGTGGCTCTACACACGTTAAAGTATTGTTAACAAAGAACCCCGATAATAAAACAACCACCCCGATGAAGTCGAATACATTTTAATTATTGATTGTTGCTGGATCGTGTTGCTTGTTCCGGCAGGTCTTTTGTCAAGGTGTCCTTGACAGGTTTATTGTTTAATTAACAGAGAATTAACAATCATTCATAAATACCTAAGATGCTTTACCCACTCCTATCGGTCGATAACCCGTCACATGGCCATTTTATAATGAGTTGTTCACGACACGGACACACCATAATATAGCTAGAGGGAAGTAACTTTGTTGAACAAAATCGTTTGAAATTTATAATTTTCGACTTTTGGACCGATTTTTTTTTTTTTTTTTTTTTTTTTTTTTTACCGGAAAGCTATTTATGAATGGGAGTTAGTGTGTGCTTGTCCGGTATTTAATACTATGCTTAAGACGGGTTGGAGTCTGGATGCTGATAATAACCCTCGCATTTAAGCCTTGGTTTGAAAAGATCGTTTCCACCCCGATAGGTGCAAGACTGAAACCTACCAAACGTTTGTTAGGCAAAGCGGGCGATTCTCGCCAGTCGCCACACTATTTAATCTTGAAAGCCAGGAGCAGTCGAATCTGGGCCATCAGTTTTTAGTGCAAAAAGTGGACTTTTGTGGGACAAATTGGCTCATGTCGATAACTTGGGCTATATACATGTTAATCCTCGGGTGCATATACTATCAAAGTGTTAAAATATAAATACATTTTACTATAAAAAAATGCGAAGTTGTGTATGAACGCAATATTTTAAACTCTGCTGACAGACATTGATACAATCCTTAGAAGTAAAATGGATCTGAAATAATGTCCCAAACCATCTCCTTGGTTCATGTAATGCTAAAGCACTTACCACAACGAACTCCGGCGTCCTCACTATGACCACAGTTTTCAATCCCCAATCCCCTGTGTTGGCAATCGAACACCGTCTCTTCGTGACCAGTACAGGCGACATCATCTAGCAGAATGTCAAGCCCATCTCCCCCACCAAATGTAGCCGATCCGGGAGCCTCCCTTGCCCCTACGTAACCCAGCTCCCGGCAGATAACTGTTGCGTCGTCCAGGTCCCAGTAGTCATCACAGACCGTCCCCCAGGCACCATTCCAGATCACTTCCACGCGACCTTCCATAGAATTGGTACCACCTACCAAACGAACTGCATCAAAACCGAAATACTTCAATAGAAGTACAGGATAAACACATCTAGGTTGAAAAGAAGTGAAGCAGTGACAACATGTTGCACATTGGTCTCTACCTCTTCGTAGAGGGGAACCTGCTTAAAAAAAATCGCTTTCCCCCAAAAATAAACAATGGCTACAATTTCTGTAGATTTTCGACTACCAGAAATTGCTCGTTTCCCCGTTTCTGAAAATGCGCTTCTTTGGTTTAATAATTTGGTACATTTTAATCTGATTGAAAAGTTGTGCTATGTGGGGAAACTGACAAATTTAATTACGGTGTGACACATTTGTTACGAAAGTCGTAATATCGCACAATAAACAATGTCTGTCTATCCACATCTATACGTTTGTAAAGTAGCATAGTTTTCTCCATTATATCTTAATTAAACTCTGATACATCCTTCGTCAATGTGCTCATGACATAACATTTCAAGTAACCAATACATTACCTCGAGGATTGCAAATGACTCCTGCATCTTCACTGTGCCCACAGTTATGACTTCCGATTCCTCTATGCTGACAGGAATCCAGGTCACTTTCATACCCAGCACAAGCGACATCGTCCAGATGTATTTGCCCCGTTCCATGAGCAAAATAGCCTCCTTGGGTAGCCTCGGAAGCGCCAGGAAAGCCGAGCTGCCTGCAGGCGACCTGGGCGTCTTCTAGTTCCCACACGTCATCACACACTGTACCCCATTCACCATTGAGGAAGATCTCAAGACGTCCCTGACTTCTTGTTTTGCCTCCCACTAGACGAAGTTGAGCTAGGACAGAAAGCGTGACAGTATGTAAGGGAAAATGATATATGTAGTTTTAATAAGCAGAGGGTTAACGCACTCACAAAATGCTTGACGTTCTGTCATTGGTTCTGCCATGAGCAACAATGACCAAAAACGTCACGTAACACTTTAATTTGAATGAAATGAAACTACATGCACACAGACATTTTCACGATGGAGGGCGAACTCTTTGAAAATATATTTGTCCCGTTTGGAAGACGGTATCTTCATCCAATTGATTGTTTATCCAAAGTGTTTATTTCCCTTTTAATAATTCAAGTATGTGATAAAAATCGTTGTGAAAGCTCATAACTTTTTGTTGAAATTGAAAAAATAGGCCTGGCTACGGGAACTTTTGAAAGTTGTAACACTGGCGTTTGCAATATCTGTCAATCTTGTCAAGCCTCACGAGTAAAATTTTGAGTACTAGCCTCCTTCACGAGTTATTAATAAATATGACCCTTTTTGCCGGCTTCCATTGGTCGATACCGAGACCCGCGCCAAGTCACGCCGAGTGACGCTAATGATTATGCCAATAAGTATGCGCTTCGTCAATGTGTTGCCGGGCCAAAATCGGTCACGTAATCACCCATGCATGGGGGTTGGTCACAAAATAAATCCTCGTCGAAATTTTCCTTAGAGATATTTTAAGGTGTAACAATAGCGTTTGAAACAACAAATTAAGCTGAAATTCAGAATATACTAAGATGATATAAGTGTTCAACTACTCTTGACATAAGAAAATGAGTAAATTCCTAGAAATTGAGATAAATACATAGATTTGGGAAATATTTCGAACGATTTCTTCCAGACTAGTTGAAAGTCAGCTTTACCAGTAACCAGTATTAAGGTTTCGGCATCGATGACGGCGACTTTTTCACTGACATAAAGTTTAGAATTTCTGCTGCCGTTATAATTTAAAGAGGTTGTGGAATGCTCGAAGACATTTCCGTCATTTTTCGGGTATATGTAGCCTAAGGTGTGATGAAATAAAAACGACTATTGTTTCTGTCATGAAATGAGTACAAAAGGTACTTTTGAGAGCTGTTTTTCAGGTCCAGTTTCGACCCGAACGTGCAACTGTGTAAAAGTCGTCGTTGCGGGCAGCAAACAAAACACAGTAAATCGTGACGTAATAAACAGGACTCGTGTATGCTACTGTGCATCGGGAGTCCTGTTTAACGCGCGCGCATACCAGAAACCGGAGACTTTTTTTTTGGGGGGGGGGGCCTAAGCCTTTGCTGACAATCCACCTAAGAATAGTGGTAACTTGATGTAGTGGCGTATACGCGGTATACGGAGGGGGCACATTACTGGACCAAGCCCAGTCTAATGTGGCTTTCGAGAACCCGGGGATCCCCAACCTCGTCCCAAGTGCTTACTTTATTTCCAACCGCGTTTCCAATAGTAAACCCTGGATAGGAAACTTTCTTTCTGTATCCTGATTGGATACCGCAATTGGCTAGTAATGGATTTTTTTATCGCGTACTTGGTGCTATTATTCACAACGTGCAGTACGTGTTTTCGCGATCATTCGTCCACGCCTGCTCGAAAATACTAATTTCCTTTTCAATTTGCTCATATGATTATGAAATATGACACTGCATGTTGTCTCGATAAAGTCGTAACAGTTTGATTTCAAAAATCGTGTTTTCGTAACTCACGCCGTGCTCGCGCTGCTACGAATTGACTCTGTTTTTACCCCAGACACCGCATACAAAAACAAACGCTAATGTGTAACGCATATCCAGGCAGCAGACTGTTCCTCATTTGCATACGTGTTCAAAAATCTTGCACATGCAAATGATCCAATACCAGGGTGAGAGAGCAGGTAGTGGTGGGCGCGTACTGCTCGACACCCTGGGGACGAGGTTGGGGAATCCTGAGTTCGTATTCATGAGCCCCCTACTAAGATAATGGCTATTTAATCAGTTGACGACCATAAATGTGGTCGCACATACTAATGAAACAGGTGGGAAAGCAGTGGTTTGTCCTTGATAAGCAGTCAGGCTATCCTACAGGAATCAGCAAAGCGGTTCTTGAGCTGCTATAAGTATTCCTCTAAGTGGGCAGTGATGGCTGCAGCATCTCGTTTGCCTTTCGGAATTTTCTCTGTCAGAGTCTAGTTAAGAGCCTTTAAAAGTTTCCATCGGATCTTTTTCAAAAGTAAATGCCTTTTGTGGCTGATAAAAAGGTATGATTCAACAGAGCATGCCGAAAAGCTTGGGAGCCAGAACGCATCCCTGTTTTTCCCTGATGCGGATGTAAAATGGCTCCGATGTAGAACTATGATCGTCCCCTTCAAGTCTACGTGTAAAGATTTTACGATGCTGAGCAATGTTAAAGGAAACCGATCTTGTCCAAGATTTGGGAAAAGGCCATCTCTGTTAACGTGGTCAAATGTCTTGGGATATATAAATGCAACTTAAAGTGGCTTTCTCTGCTCTCTACACTTTTCCTGTAACAGTGAGGATACCATGTCGATGGTAGACCTCTTGGCGCTGATCCCAGACGACAATTCTGGGTAGACTCTTTCAGCAAGAGCCTGATGGAGCCTCTATGATCTGAAGGGCGAAAAAATTCCCCACAATGCTGGGAGGAATATGCCGCCATTAACAGCAGAACGGGCAGACCGCAGCACTTGTAGAGCTAAACCGGCCATTGAAGTGCAGAAGAACTCGAGAAAGAAATAAACTGAATGAAAAGTGAGTGACCTAACAGGACCATGTCTTTCCCAAGAAAACATGGTCAATGGAGTCACAAGTAAGTCCTTTCTAACGTTCAGTTTGCCGCAGTACATAATATCGATTGCATAAAAAGCCGATTCATTTGCTAAATTCTCACGAATGAAAGTATATTTACTTAGGTCGTACTCACATGCATCAGCGAGCATGAACAATACCTCCGTCATCACAATGACACCAAGGAATTGAAGCAACATCGTTTTGTTACACGGGTGTTTTATGGTTAACATCTGGTACCAAACTGACAAACCAAAATGACAACACATTTAATTAGAAATGAACTGTCCGTGCTCTGTTTTAACAAATTCCATTTAAATTGAACGTGATTAAACAAATTCATTTAAAATAAAACGTATATTTTTTTAAGCGAGAACCAATTAACATGCTCCGTATGGACCTTATGAGTTTGTTTCTGCATTCAATAGGGGATGTTGAAAAATAGAGGACAATAGGGTCCCCAATTCCCGAGAGGTCCTCTATTGGGATTCGTGTACAAAACATATGAGACGTCATCCTAAAAACAAAAGAATACAAACAAAAGAGGGACAAAAGGGGGTCCCCGATTGGAGACGAGTACGTTCATCGGATACATTTGTTTATTTTGTTTATTAGAACGAACGAAAAAAATACAGCGTATACTCCATGTTTTAGAAAAATTTAATAAAATATGGAGCTCGTCCCCATTGGAGCACGGTCATTTTTAGGGGAGGGGGGGGGGGGTAAAATTCCTTGAAAAGGGCACTTGCACATCCGTGGTGAAATGTAGACAGGTTTTTTCTCCGGACACTTAGCCTCCGTAATATCGAAAGGGGGGGGGGGGGGCTGGTATTGTCTGTCGATGGGGACGCTGTTCAAAACCGACGATTATGCACACAAACGGCACGTTGGCTTGTGCTTTTCACGCGATTCATGTGCGAAATTCAGCAAAAGGCAGCCAAAACGGCAGGTGCCACAGAAAAGGGCATCACTTCTTATTAATAAAGGGCACTTGATCAGAAAAAAAGGGCACTTCTTAATAAAAAAAAGGCACTATTTACAAATAAATGGGGGGGGGGGGAGCCCGTTAAAAAAAGGGCATTTGAATGGCAAAAGGCAGTCTTTACAAAATATTCGGGGACCCCTCCCCCCCTGGCTACGCCTATGTTGGACAAGTTATTTCAGAAATGCTACACAATTTAGCTATCCATCACTTATCATTATCGCTATTCTAATGTCAAAACTAGTGTTGATTATTTTTTACATACAGAACACAATTGACAGTACAAATACTATTTCAGTCTTGACTTAACTTAAATCTCAGTTGAATTTAACTCCTGTTTGTAATACCAAGTGCTTACTCAGTTTTATAGCTTCAAAACATTCCAGCTGTAAAAATTAGATGTTTCCCCCTGATCAAGAAAAGAACATAATCGTTTATTACCTGCTTCATCGGTTATTCAAAATTTCAAAGGGGAACCATATTAATCCAGGTCACTTTGTTTTTCTCACACTGCATTTACTAACGATATCAGGGAAATACTGTAACCGTCCGATTCCGCCAAAACGGATGTCTATTAAGATCAGATCTGCTATAGTAGACTTGTTTTACCGGTCCTTAGTTTATCACTTTTTATATGTGGATGGCAACCAATCTAGTCTGTGGGGAATGAATTATTGTCGTGCTCATATAATTAGTTCATAATTAGTTTAGTGAGTAATCCATAACTAAACGTATGCCGATTTTTTCTTCTTTTGATGCTTCACTGGAAAGTGAACGTTTTGCTACAAAAACAAAAATCAATCATTGTTTACGAAAACAAGGTAATGCTTCTCCGAAACATATTTCGGAGATAGACCTAAAACAAAAACCCTTTCCTAGTCTGACCATTAAGAATTTATATTTATGAGCAGGACAGTGAGGTCACACTATTCCTGAAATATTCCTAAAAAAATGTATAGAGAAAATGAACCATTGTCATTCCACCTCTTAGAATGAAACATAATGACCAACAACTTAGATTTGTGAACATTATTATTACGTATTAATTTGTGGACACTTCGTTACGTTTCCCTGATAGAGTGAACAGACATTAATCTTGCCAATTTGTCTTTAACCAGCCGTATTTCATGCACAAATGAACCGCGAAATTCTTACCTGTTGGTGTTTGCAGTCAGTCAAATCTTTTTACTGCGCAGCTTTGTTCAATGATTTGGTTATGGGGTGCTCGTGACTCGGAAATATACCCCTTCTGATAGAATGTACTGAGAGTTTTGCCAGTAAAAACGTAAAACAATTTTTAAACTGAAGCTTCCTTGTCCTTATCTTGTCAACATTGTCACTGCGCATGGGGAAAAATATTGATAGTTTGTGCAGATGGTCCTGGAGAAAAAGAAAACGAAACATGCCTTTCCGGCACTGCAATGTAAAAAGAATAAACAATTTTTTTAAAGGAAATTCCTGGTGTTTATTTTGTTTCTGTTTAAAGTATAGTGGGGATTTCCTTGTACGTGTACTTGTAATGCATGAATTCTACATGCACTTCTACACGAGTTAAATTATACATGAATTCGACACTCTTTTCTCTGTAATATTGTTCTTTTCAGTGAGACTTACAAATGGAACAGTCAATGATAATTTGTGAACCTACTAAAAAGAAAAATTGAATATCATATTGATTTGCATTTGCTTATTTGCTGAAGTTACATTAATTGACAAGAAATGATAAATCACTCAAACTGAAAGGGACACGTATAGCTCTCAACGGGTATCACTAGAGGGGTGTGCGTGATGTGACAGCAGAACGAATGAAATTGAATAATTTGAGCGGGATTTAAATATGCCATCTCCAAAACGGACGTTGATTGGGAATCATATTGCAATGAATTATAAACGATATCAACAGCTATCAACAGACCAATTACAGCGTCATTGGCGCAGCCAGGGTGTTTTTTTTGGGGGGGGGGGTTGGGGAATTTTTTTAAAATATTTTTTTGAAGTAGGTACGCCACTGACAGCGGCGGCAGAAAAGTTTTTAAAGGGCGGTCATTGTCGTTAGGGGCGCCATTTTTGTTTGCTTTCCTTCGGTGAAGGCTACATCCTGGCCCCTCCCGCCGATTCCACTGTCTTTGCCATGGCAACTGCAGTGTATGTTGGCCTTCTCGGTAATCAAAAGCGATAATTAAATTTGGATCCTATTATTTCCAGAGTCAGTAGGATAATGACCAGAAACTGATTTTGTTGGTGTGTTAATGTCTACCCAAATACATGTATAGGGCCTAGATATACTTTTTGGGGATCTGCCAAGAAGGGGGGGGGGGAGCATACCCACCCGGTACCCCCGCCCGCCCACCTGTTGAAAAAGTGTGGGTGTTTGTGTGTGTGTGTGTGTGGGGGGGGGGGGGGGGTCGGAGGCAATGGCCCTTCTGCCTGCCCCCTGCCTGCACCCGCCCCCTGCCTGCACCCTCCCCCTCCCCCGGCAAATGACAAGGGCCTGGGGTGTGCATGTGCTGCCACGTATCTACCATAGTGGTAAACATTCATGCGTTTCAGTTTTTTGATCGAAACAAGGAAACACTTAGAGGAAATGACATGTTGTAAAAACAATTCATCTCCGGCACGCTAAGTTGTTTTTTTGTGTGGTATGACAACAATAGATAAAGTCAGAGACTGTTTCAGGTCATTATAACATCATGTATAATAAAATAATAGGATTCCCCTTTATAGTCAGGAAAACTATGATAACTGTAGGCAGTAGAGTGTTTCCTTCTATTTGACGGGGTGGTTCACTTGTAAAGTAATAATAATACACGTGGGCGTCGCCAGGATTTTTTCCCACCGAAATCTCTGTACTTTATCGGAATATTCTCGATTTATTATTTTTCGAGGGTGGGCAGAGACATTTTCCCCCTCCCCATTAAATTAGCAGCAACGATACTTCGCGCTTTTGTTAACTTTTGGTTTTTTTTATTTTGTATTTATTTATTTTTGTATTTGGATTTTTTCTAGAGGGGGCAATACACATTCCCCCCCCCCTCCCCCGAAATCCCTGTAATTTAACAGCATATTCTCGATTTATCTCTTTCTAGGGTGGGCAGGAAATTTGCCTCCCCCCCCCCCCCCATTAAATTAACAGCAATTTGACTTCGCGCCTTTTTTTAATATTTTTGTTTTTGGCTTTTTCAGTTTTCAGATAAAAACCCTTGTGGCACAGGAGAGAAGCAACGCACACCTTTAATCATGGTCCTTGCCGGAAACGAACCAGGGCTACAGTGGTGAGAGGCGATCGCTTTACGCACTATCACCCATGCCACCAAAAGGACAAATCTGCGCTTATTTTGTCCGATAAGGGGACATAATGGCCCCCTATTGGCCACGTGTTCTATTGTTTTATATATAGTGGTTTATTGACTTATGACTGTGATTAACGCCCCACTCCCGCAAGCTGATTACCACTGAGCCCAATTCACCCACACCTACACAGGCACCCCCACACAAACACACCCCGGCTGGATACTTATACTAATGAACAGCCTTTTTACAGAGATCAAGAATCTCGATCATGACCTGCAGTCATTTGGACATACTTCCTACAAATTCGCTCGATAGTAACAGGACAAGACATCAAATCTAGCAAAGAAAGCCTAGAAAAAAACACACTAGTAGATACCAACAAAACATGTGCAACACAACGGTCCGATGGCTTGGTAATGGTTGTGTCCGCCCGAATTGAATCAATTTGCTAAAAACGACACCAACAGTTACACAGCCGAGTGGATTGGAAACAGCCCTTCAAGAACACACCCAGTATCCGAAATTTGGCAAAACTTGACAGTAGCTGGTCGTAATCGGCTAAACATGGTAACTCATTCCAGTACTTTAGTTTTGTTTCGTGAAAATTATTTTGAATAATGCTTTAAAACCAGCACAACCCCCCCCCCCCCGCCCGAAGAAAAAAATCAGATAAAAAAAACAAACGCTAGAGTTTGGAAACCAACTGAAAGAAACCCCCCAACAGATAGATCCAGTGTAAAAATTGCTCACAGCGCCCTCTTTGTGAACCAATTAATCGTGAGCGCAAGCTTACTGCGCGCAGTATATAGGGCTAGACGTCGTTATGGTTTGATAAGCGATAACCCGCCCCAGCGATAGCCCGCCGACGCAAGAGGATGCTACCACGACCAACCAATATCATCCACGAACCCATCCGAACAACGTCTAGGCCAACTCGTAAACTACTGCGCATGCGCGACTTCTGCAGGCAATTTCGGCCCATTTTCACAAAAGAGGTGACCAGTGAAGTTGCACAGACGTCTTGTTGCATCTTTTAGATTACTCGAAGAAATGTGAAAGTTTGCTTCGGAACTAATATGAATTTGTATGATTGCACGCTGCATATATTAGGCCAAGCACGTGCGGACACATTTGAAAACCAGTACGAATTGGCCTAGATTGTTGTTCCGACGGGTCCGTGGGTGATATTGGTTTGTCGTGATAGCGCCCTCTCGCGTTGGCGGGTTATCGCTGCAGCGCGTTATCGCGTATCAAACAATAACAACCTCTAGCTCCTAGATAGACTGACTATATGCTGACAATAGCATTCATCCCAGTGTATGATGTGTCAATCAAAAGGTTTTCAACTCCCCACCTCCTCACTTTATTCACCAAGCTAACACTGTTGGCATTTCAGAATATAGAAATGAATGTGTTATTCAGTAGTATAGTTACTATGTCTAATATCACTGTTGTTAATTGTGTTGTGTTAACGGTATTTCTCCAGAACTGGGAAGTCTCCAGAACTGGGCAGCTCGCCTAATCTACAGGACTAACCGAAGACAGGATTCCACCCCTTTGCTGCAATCACTACACTGGTTACCCATCTCCAAACGAATTCGTTACAAGTTATTACTTTTGGTATACAAATCATTTCACAACCAGTCACCAGAATATATGAAGTCCTGCATTTTGCCTCATGTTCCCCCCAGACCAAACGTCCGTTCTAGTTCTAATCCTTTTCGTCTGACTTTCCCTCGTACCCACAACAAAGCTGGTGACAGAACCTTCACAGTCACTGCAGCGAAGGAGTGGAATAGTCTGCCCTTTTCCATTCAAAATGCCAAATCTCTCGAGCAATTCAAGAAGCTGATCAAGACCAATTTATTCCACCAATAATCAATTCATTGTCTATGCTAGCTGATTTTATTATTTAACTTAATTTATTTATTTAATTGAATTGTTCATTATTTGTAAGCGCTGTGATTTAGTTTACTAATAAGAGCGTTCTTAAATGCCGATTATTATTATTTCTCTTATATGCATGTTTCAATTATTTGTGCATTACTTGAGCCTCCAGCTATATTCCTAGCTTGTGTCACTCTCTGCTGTTTTAACACTTTGTTGAAAAAATTCATTCCCATTCTTTCTTAGTTCTTATAACCTAACTTTCTAAAAAAGGTCTATGTGCAAGGCGCGGTTCTACGGGGGGGGGGGGGCTTTAGCCCCCCCCCCCCAATTTTTTTTCGTCTAGCCCCTCAAAAATAAATTCCGTAAAAACAAATTGCATTAGCAAAAAGAAGGATTGTGATGTACATGCGAACGGTCTCCCCCTAAAGAAATAGTCGTGACAAGGGTGCATTTGTAGTTAATATAGTGTGAATGATTTTCGGATTTATTGGCGCTCCCCATTGAAAAAAATGGCATGAGCCCCCCCCCCCCCCCCCCCACCACCACCTATTGATTTTCGGAGGCCCAAGTGTCTGGAGAAAATAACCAGTGTACATTAAACAATTCTGGATCCGCCCTGCTAGCCCCCCCCCAAAAAAAAAAATAAAAAAATAAAAAAATAAAAAAAAATATTGGTTCTAGAACCGCGCCTGCTATGTGCACGATATCGCCGGTGGTGGGGTGCAGCGCTCGTGGCGCATGAGTTGTGTAGGTGTCTAGTCTGCCCACGCGCTCACGACTCAGTGAGCAGTATTTAATTTATTTAATGCATCGTATTAATTCCAATTAGTTATCTGTTAGACTTATTGGCAAGATGAAACAAAAAATGTGTCGATTGCTGTGATGTGGGATATGTCGTTTAGCACCATGGGCTAATTCGCCTCGGCTGTTAACATACAGCGGCATATCCCGCATCACAGCAGTCCACATACATCGATGACGGAATGTTTCTGAAGCACTTCGGAGAGTTAAAGCACAAAAGAAGGCTCAAGGGTCGTGCTGTTGCTCCTCTAACCGCATTAAAAAAAAGGTTGCATGAAGGTAGGTATTATGCAAGACTGATTGTTCATTGGCCATGAAAACCCATTGTGTATGTCATATTGGGGACAAGCTTTCGAAGTAGAGGAATCCCATCGACGCTGGCGTTGCATGTTTGGAGAACTTTGCGTGCGTTTGGACATGTTGGCCTGTTCAAGGTTACATCATTGTATTGATATTTACATTTGTTATTGAAATCCAGACGAAAGACAACAAAGATCGGGACTTTCCCTCCCGCACCCCAGAAATAAGTGACACATTCTTCTGCGCATGCGTAGACACCGTGAATACAAATCATATCTATCCTTAGGCCCTGTTTTTTCCAAAACGCGTAGGTGCCATTTTCATCATGTATCGAAAGTTGATCTGTTATCCGCCTGTTGATTAAGCCTATCAAGTTGAAACATCAAGCTGACGTGACAGTTCGGCTTCTGAAAAAAAAAGGTTTGTGCAAATTGATAGTTTTTTTTTTCTTTTTCGTCTAATTTCGGATCATACTTGGCTGTGTAAAGATGTTATATAAAATACTAGAACAGTTGCACCCGATATATTGTGAAACAGTAATACTAAACATACAGACAGATGTGGCGTTCAGTAAGATTATTATGCACGATAAAAGGTAAGCGCCAACATTTTTGAAGTGAGTTTTGTGTATTGTGATCAATGTAGAAACTTTTTTTGCATAATTAACCACAGATTTCATCATACTTATAGTATAGTTATTAATTCATCGGGAATAGTAGATAAAGTTTACAACTTTTCTATTCAACTTTCAGGACCATATGCAACACAAATGTAAGAATACTTGGTATATCGTTTCCGGATTTCTCGTCACGTAGGCCTATTTTATGTACAAAACATGATTTAACCCTAAAGGGCGGGGTTATTTTGACCATCTCTCAGCGGGGGGGGGGGGATTCCTCCCCCCCCCCGATCTCGGCCATCGAGTGACGAAACAATTTGAAACTCAGTACATGCATAGAACAACCTCTCATGAATATACCCAAGAAATTTCATGACTATAGATTAAAGGGTTTTGGAATTATGGCTAGTATGCACGAATGGTAATTCTGCGCTGTGTACACTACGTAAACGGCGAAATTCAGTTTTCACGGACTTTTTTTCGCGGGAACCCGTGGTCCGATTTTTTATGTTTTTGGTATCAAAAGATGCGCAAGGCTCGATGCTAAAAGGTCAGAACAGCTTGGGTCGCGAGGAAAAAAAAATTAAGGCTATCGCGGAAAAAGTTTAGGGGGGCGCATTCCGGCCCCGGCCCCTTTAGGGTTAAGGACTAGCGCAATTAAATGAATGACATTTTCAGTTTACACGTTGCAAGGTCTGAAGATGGAACGTCATCTCAAGTGTGTGTTTTTAATACCCCACATAGTTGGAAATCATTTATATGTTAATACATGTAGAAATAAAAGCCACAGCTTGGTTTGGTGCTCTACAATATCACTTTGTCTGAGCTTCAAATGTACATACAAAAATCAATGTAATACTTTTTCATTAAGAAATATCTAAAGGCATAAGATCATCTGCATTTATACTAAAAGTAACCTACCATTTTATTATCAAAAACATGACAATGTATTGAAGACCATCGCACTGGTGTTAAACACTCCGTCATATCATTCCGTCTGGCTTACATATCATTTATATAGGAAGAAAAGAGGATGTGCAGGTGATTTCGAGCGATCTGTCAATTATTCGATTTCTTTATATAAAAACAAAATGAGTTCTATGAACGAAATCGTGTTTCATGATGTAGAAGTTGTGCATGATATTTCACTTTTTTCGCAAAAAGTCTGCTATCCACTGAACTGAAAGTTGAAAAGATTAGATTTTGGACATTCTTCTTTGGATGTTGAATTGTGTTAATTTTGGAAACGAACAAAATATAAAGAAAGCAAATGACCCCATATGCCTTTAAAATTTCCAAAATACATGCTTTTATGATGACATAAAAAATCTCCGAAATTATTATGCCTCCAATGAACAACAATAGTTTCTCTCAAGATATGATTGTTTTCTCACAATTTTACGATAGCTTCGATATAAACAGCTTGGATTCGAGTACGTGAAAATGATACAATGTGGCACCGATTGCAAGCCACTGTTATTTATAGCGAGAAAAACTCGAAATTTAGGGCTTGCTGCCGCATTGTAATTGTGCATACTGAGAAAGAAATTTGGGGTAATTATTTTTCAGATTTCTTTAAATTGTGTTGGTTGTTGTATTCTTTGTCACGGTCCAACAGTAACTTTAATCCCCCAGCCCCATGTAAATCTAACCTTAAACGAAATTATTGTCCGACTCGGACTGAGCAGTATTTATGTTATTTATTGCACAGTGTAAGTTACAATCATTTAACTGTTTGACTTATTGGCAAGATGAAACAAAACAGTTGTTGACTACTGTGATGTGGGATATGTGATATGTCGTTTTAACCCTGATTGATGTGGGATATGTCGTTTTAGCGCCATCAGCTAATTCGCCCCGTCTGTAAATATAAAGCGGCATATCCCGCATCACACTGAGCAGTCCACAGAAATCGATGATGGAATGTTTTCGAAGCACTTCGGAGAGTTAAAGCACAAAAGAAAGCTCAAGGGTCATGCTGGTACTCCTCTAGCTCTATTGAAAACAAGTCTGCATGGAGGTAGTTATTATGCAAGACTGATTGTTCCATGTCCATGAAAACCCATTGTGGAAGTCGTATTGGGGACAAGCTATCGAAGAAGAGGAACCATTGACGTTGGAATCACATGTCGTGAGAACTGTACGTGCGTTTGGACACGTTGGCCTGTTCAAAGTTTACACATTGTATCGATATTTACATTTGTTATTGAAATTCAGACGAAAGACAACAAAGAACGGGACTTTCCCTCCCGCACCCTGGAAATAAGCCACGCATTCTTATGCATATGCACACTCCAAATATCAATCATATGTATTGTAAGACCTGGGTTTATTTTCAGACCCGGAGGATGAGCTCTAGAAGAAGCAGTGGAATCCCATCGACGTCAAGGGATTCGCCAGGATGGGGCAAGGGGTGGGGGTGGAAAAAGAGGGGGAAAGGGGGAGGAAGTAAAAAAAAAACCTGCGAAATTGGTGTCAAGTCATATTTACTTTTAATGAGAGTATGTAGGGCTGTTAATGGGGTCGGGTGGGTAAATGTCCCCCTCCCACCTTCGAAAAAAAAATGCGAATACGCCAGAGAAAGTACAAGACTTTTGGGGGTAAATGTGCTTTACAACCCCCCCCCCCCCCCTGAAAAAAATCCGTGCGCCGCCCATGATCAACGTTTGCATAAATTTGAACTTGCCAGTAAGTTTGGAAATGTTCAAAATTACTTATTTGTATTGATGTTTACTTGTTATTAAAATTCAGACAAACAACAAAGAACGGGACTTTACCTCCCGTGCCCCAGAAATAAGTGACGCATTCTTGTGCGCATGCGTAGACACTCCCTGAATACAAATCATATTTATTCTTAGTCCCTGGTTTATCCAAAACGCGTAGTTGCAGTTGATATTTTATCTCTTACTACTGTGGAGGTGATGGTCTTCGTGTTATCCGCGCTGTTGATATGAAATAACTTGATAAAGCCTTCCAAGTTGAAACATTTAAGCTGACGTGACAATTCGGCTTCTGAAAAAAAAAGGTTCGTGCAAATTAGTTGTATTTCTTTTTCAACAAATGTCGGAGCATACTTGACCGTGAAAAGATGTTATATAAAACAAAAAAGCAGTTGCACCCTATATATTCTGAAACAGTTATACTAAATATACAGACTGATTTGGCGTGCGGTAAGATTATTATGCACGATAAAGTGTAAGCGCCAATATTTTTGAAGTTACAAAATGTAGTTTTGTGTATTGCGATCAATGTAGCAACCTTTGTTTACATAACTAATCACGGATTTAATCATCATTTTTTTCATCGAGAAATGTGAATAAACTTCACATCTAGTCTATACTTTCAGGGCAATTGCAATACGAAAGTAAGAATACTTGGAACATCGTTTCCTGAGTGCTCGTCATGTAGGTCTATATTTTTGTGCAAAACATGATTTAAAGACTAGCACAATTAAATTAATGACATTTACAATGAACATGTTGCAAGGTCTGAAGATGGAACGTCATCTCAAGTCTGTATTTAGCATGTGAATGTTTTGTCTTCAAATATGTAGAGTATTTTTTTATTTGTTCAGTAGCCCTGAATTAATTACTTGCACAGTACTGTATTTGTAGCTTGTTTTTAATACGTGCTCTACAACAACGGTTTATCTGGGTTTTAAATGCACATACAAGAATCAATGCAATACTTCAATGTAAAAAATATCTGAAGGTATATAGAATCATCCGCATTTTTTAAAAGTAACCTACCGAATTTTGGTCAAAAACTTGACAATGTATTGAAGATCACCGCACTGGTGTTGAACACTCTGTGAAATCATTCCGTCTGTTTTGCATGTCATTTATAGGAAGAAAATAGGAAAAGCAGGAGATTTCCAACCATCAGTCAATTAATCGATTCTTATATTGAAAAAAAAAGAGTTCTATATATACGAAATCGTGCTTCATGATGAAGAGGTTGAGCGTGATATTGCACTGTTTTCTCAACATGTGTGCTATCCACTGAACTGAGAGTTCAACATACTAGATTTTGGACATTCTTCTTTGGATGTTGAGTTGTGTTTATTTTTTTTAGAAACGAACAAAATACAAAGAAACACAATGATCCTCTATGCCTTTAGAATTTTCAAAATACATAATTTTATGATGACATAGAACTCGTTATCTCCGAAATCATTTTGCCTTCAAGACCAACGATAGTTTCTCTCAAGATATGATTTCCCCCCACAATTTTAGGATAGCTTCGATATAAACAACGTGGATTGATCAACGAGTACCTAAACATGTTACAATGTTGTACGAATTACAAGCCCCTGTTATTCATAGCGAAAAACCGTGTAATAGCAGCTTGCTGCTGCATTGTAATTGTTCATTTCAGAAAGAAATTAGGGATCATTATCTACAGTATGTTGGCTTGTTCCAGATTTCTTTCAATTGTGTTATTCTTTGTCCATAAAGAATTTCAAACTCCCAGCCCCATGTAAATCTATCTTAAGCAAAATTCTGGTTCGCCAAAAATGCTAGCATTTACAAAACTGATTTTGTTGAGTCGTGGGGTCGAACACAATATTTTCTGCAACATAATTTTAGCAGTAATTTTTGCAATGGGGTTTTTGTACAAAACCAATATGCAATTATTCAAATATGTTTTGATACCAACTAAAGTCAAAACAGAAATCTTCAATAAGCCGTTTTCCCTTTGCTTTTTCGCTCCTCTCCACCTCTAATTTCAACACACATTGATGGTATCCTTGTTATTTTGGAAATTTACTTCCTCAAAACATTTTTTCAGCCCTGAGTCATATACAAAGGTTACAAATCCCCAGTTCATGAACAGATTTTTTTCCTTTTTTCTTTTTTGTTGTTATGTGTGTGTTACAATGAATGAATCAACAAAAGCTGACGTCATGGGAATGATTTAGCATTTTCTGTCCACTACTTACGACCATTACATGCATATTATTAGTACACTGTTTCCGGACAAACTAAACCCACACGGGTTTTGCGTATTCAAACAAAAAAAAATCTTCCTGGCTGATAGCCTATTATTTATGGGTCTTTGTTTAGAACCATTAAGTTAAAAACTTTGGCGAACAAGGCCTTACTCAAAATGATTAGACACCGCGATTACTTCCGACTGCTGATTGATTCTGTAATTCCAATAATATCATTATAATTATCACTACTTACCGAAAGCCCTGGACACTATGAATATTCAAAGCGCGACAGAGGGTGCGCTCTGGCTGCGCGACGGTGTTTTTATTTGCAGCGCACGTCGTGAATGGATCATGATTATTCAGCAGTTCGATGTCTATTCATAACAAAATAACAATGACGTCACACCATTATTATCAGTCATCATTATTACCACTCATGTATGTACATTTGAGCATTTCAAAGGACTTTCGTCGAGTTGCCGCAGACTGCGGATCTCAAGATCTGTAGTTCGAACCCGGTACTCGTGTCCATTTTCATCAAATAGTTTTGTTGGTTGGGATAGGTTTAATTGAAGGGAAAACACTACGAGAACCTACGTGTCTTTCAATCACACAGCGTGATAAATATTCATGTTAGCGTTCGTCACTTGATTGGTTAAAATACAACGTATGCTGCAGAAAAAAAATACGCCTGCGGAGGCGCGGTGTTTTTATCTGCAGCTAGCACATGCATATCGATCAATGGATCAAGGTTATTCGGCTTGCTCGCTGTTTATTAATAAGAAAGTAACAATGACGCCACACCATTGCTATCACTCAGTCATGCATGTGCATGCAAGCCTTTTAAAGAACGGCTTTTGTCGAGCTACCACGGTGGCCTATCGGTTAGTGGAATGGACTTTGAATCGCAAGATCTGTGGTTCGAATGCATGTGCATTTCAATCCAATGGTTTTGTTAGTTGGGGTAATTTAATTGAATCGAAAACACCACGAGAATCTTAGTGTCTTCCATCCACACATAACAGAGTGATAAATATTCATGTTAGGGTGCATGATGTGATATTGGATAAAATACCATGTATGCGGGAAAACAGTACGCTGCCGGGCGTATTTTTTCCCCAGGAGGGTTAGGGGCAATGTCATGAATAATTCAGTTTTTCCTTTGCATAGTGACAGGACACTTAGGTTTCGTTCTTTTTTTTCCTTAAATTAAAATTACCTCAATGATAAATTTGGAGAAGAAAAATAGTCGATGAAAACGCCGCGGCACACGTGGACTCGAACCAGGAATATTTGTATCCACAACTCATATCGCTATGCACAATAGGGTTCATGTGTGGTAGCTCTACGACACTTTGTTCTGTAAAACGCTTTTATGTAACAGTTTGACCAAATAACAACAACGTTCGAACAAGGACCAGTGGTTAACTAGTGGTTGGTTCGTGACGTAGCTAGAGCATGCGCACTGAAGTTGAAGTGCGAACGACTCTAGTCGAACTATTGTCATGTCAACGACTGTCAGAAAATGGCGGTCGCACAATTATTCAACACTTGTTTCTCTTTATTTAGACAATAATAGTGATTGTGAATAGTTTACAACATCTTACATAATCGCCAATATTATTGTGCAATGGTGACAAAAGTGACATAATTGTAAACTAACATGGAAACACCTGTGCAATGAAAATGACATTTGGCGCTCTCAATTTCGTTTAATCCGCCATTTTTGTTGACACTTGGTTCCCACTGCACTTTGATATCGAAAATGCTACCGATAACCAGCTATAAGTCGTTGCGCGCGACCAGCCTTTTCATACAATAAAACAAATCTTTTCATACGATAAAAAAAAATATATATACATGTACACTGACACGTGAGGATCATCTTTGTCCAGAGTTCAAGATATCTGGCCATGGACAATGTACACCCAATGGTCATTGTTCATGAATCTGTAAATCGGTTGCCAAATTGGCATGTTCTGTTATATGAGAGCTCAGCCTAAAGTAAAGCACACGGCCAGGCGAGGAGTAACAGAAATATGATGCAGCAAGGCTGTCGTCTGCGATCTGTTGTTTTCACCTGAGACGATAATCGAATAAGAACCCTTAATATCGCCTCTTTTTTATATTTGAAACTGCGCGTTTGAAAACAGCACCATCTTACGGACGCGGGACTGCTGCGCTTAATTCAGGAATACGTGCTGTGGGAATGCAAACTGCAATAGCAATAGACAATGGCCTGATGTAAGTCCTGCAATAACGTGGCTTTACTTTGCTTTGCGGGGGCGTTATTCCACCCTGTCAAAAGAACCCTACGAAGTAGGGGGCCCCCAGGAAAAATAACATTTTTTTATTCTCTATTTTTTCCAGATAACACAGACAAGCTTTCTGCCGGTAATGGGACACCTGCTGGTCGAGGGATTATTGGGGGTTGTTTGGGTATTTTTGTTACTCGGAGCTGCATTCCAACCAGTACAAGCAGGTAATGTTTGCTGTTTAGAATCATATAATTGCGGTTCCTCGCCGGAAAAAAAAGGAAATGCTAATCTCATTATTGATAAGGTGAAAACTAGGGTCTTTCAAAATAGTTCAACAAATTATCGAACAGCCAAACAAAATAGGACAGTGCGACCAACGAAACAACGAAACAACATTAGAAACCAAATGGCGTTATGAATTGCCTTTTTAACTTAAAAATTATTAATAAAACTACAGTATAACTACTTGTAATTTTATTCAAGTGTTTTTTGGGGGTCTTTCTTTTTGTAATTTGAAGTGCTTTATTTCGATACTTGGACGTGAGTATTACCATGAGAACATTGTGTTTGTGCATGCTCTTCACAGCTTAAAGCCCAACTCGGACATAATTCCCGACTCACTTAGTGCCCTCTACCGCCCTGATCCATTACACTCGGAAGCGAGATTTAAATGCATAATATGATCATTTGCTTTTCATTCATTTTCACTGTTCGTTTTAAATAACACCGCTCAAAATCCAAAGGAAAATGTTCAAAACCCAACCAATTGAAGATTCAGCTCAGTGGAAATTACACTGCAAATTTATGCACATATGTTTCGTCAGAAAACTAGTCTAGGGGCTAGACGTGATATTGTTTGATACGCGATAACCGCGCGCCGCCGCGATAACCGGCCGCCGCAAGAGTGCGCTATCACGACCAACAAACATCACCCACAAACCCATCAGAACAACGTTTAGGACATTGCCTAAAATCTCCCCCGAATAATGGGGGAAACTATAGTACGCATGCGCGACTTCTGCAGGCAATTACGGTCCATTTTCAGTCCCACACCTACTACTCACATGAAAAGAGCTGACCAGTGAAGTTGCACAAAAGTCTTGCTACAACTTTCATACTACAGGGGAAAAAAATGAAAGTTTGCGTCGGAACTACTATTATTTTTTTGAATTGCGCGCTGCGTATATAAGCCTAAATAGGTGCACGCTTTTATACAACCAATAGGAATTGGCCTAGACGTTGTTCTGACGGGTTCGTGGGTGATATTGGTTGGTCGTGAAAGCGCCCTCTCGCGGCAGCGGGATATCGCAGTGGCGGGTTTTCGCGTACGTATCTAACGAATAACAATGTCTAGCCCTTAGACTATCAGAAAACACGAATTCGGCGATAGCGCTCTATTTTTCCAGAAACATTTTTTTTTTAATGACATCGTAGGAAATCACCAACATTTCTTGCTTTCTTCTCAATGACATCAAGCCTGGCAAATTGTCAAGGGGTGTTTGGTACCAGTACGGGGAGTACGATCATTTAATCAAAGCAAGTCTTGTGACAATATTTTGCTATTGGTTACTTGCATTAATATGGTTCTACATATTATAAGAACAGTATAATAATCGCATACAACAACACTACATTTTTGAAAGGTAAAAAGGACATTTTAATTGCGTGACTTGGTAAATCTTGAACAATATCATTTCAGTGTTATTATCTTCATGTAGGAGATTTTGCACTTGTTGCTGATCTGCATAATGGTACCATTTACGGCGGAAGCATGGGCCGTGGTCTTGCCGACATAGCGCCTCTCCCTCTCAACGATGTGAAGCGCCCAGTGGCTGTTGACTATGACCCGATAGACAGAATGGTTTACTGGTCCGATCTGGCAAGCTTACCATCTCCACGGATCTCCAGGGCTCATCTGAATGGTAGCAGCCAAATGATAGTTGTAGACCAACTCCATCGTAAGTTTGTCGGTTGTAATGTTGCAGGCGTGGATTCAGGGGGGGGGGGGGCATCACATACAAAAAACACATACTGGTAATAATGTCTGCCAGTGCAACAAATACGGACATAGCCAGCTTGGTAAGGGGGTATTTTGTTCTCTATTCTGTAATACAGTGTTAATAATCGTCGGATTTAAACAGCGCCCCATTGAGCGCCCCAATTGAGGCCAAATGTCTGGAGAAAAACTTGTCTAAATTTCAGAAATATTTGCTGATGACCCCCCCCCCCCCCCCCCCATCCGCCCCTGTGTTGACACGTACCGCCGAATACTTTGTGCTTCATACACTCATTTCATTCGACTTCATTGCAGCTGTAGGTTTATAAAGGGATCGGGAAAAAAACATATTTGTGTGTTTTGTCTGAGATGATCTTTAGCATTATCTTTTCTTAATGTGCTTAAATGTCCACACCAGCAGAATATAAATGTCTACAGTGTGAGTAAACAGGGTGAGTAAAATAAAATGAAACCCAAATGGCAGGACCATTTTTTGAATGAAGTTTTGCCTGTTGCACTTACAAAATCTGGGATATAAAATCCCAGTTAATAGGCTTTCTTTTTGTACAAAAATCATTCAGATCACTCATTAACATTTCAAGTAAAGGCATTTTGAACCTTAACACAATTTTAAAGTTCTGTCCACAGATCACAAAAAAGTAACTGTTCTTTCAGCAAAACAAAAACAATTCTCATAGGGATGCATGTGAAATGTTTTCGTTTGCTGAAAGAACGTTTTAATTTTTTTGGTGATCCGCGGACAGAACTTAAAGAACGGACTTTGTGTTCAAAATTCCGTCACTTGAAAAGTACATGAGTGATCTGAATGATTATTGTACTAAGAAAATTGTATTAATCAGACGTTTATGCGTTTATATCCTAGATTTTGAAAGAACTACAGACAAAACGTCTTTCAAAACTTGGTCCTGCCATTTGGGTTTCATTTTTTGTTTACACACCCTGTACTGAAGATGAACATACCGTACGTTGGTTAACATCACGTGGATTCACCTACTTTACTTGTTTAGGACCCCATCATGCAGGCATTTAGATATGCCTAGAGCCACGTTTAACGTTTTTGGCATTTCGTTATATATTTATGCATTAAACTATAAGAGGGGTCACGACTGTATTTTGTGTTGTTTATACCCCACTTTCCCAATAGTACCAGACGGATTGGCACTGGATGTTGAAGCACGCATGATGTACTGGACTGATGGCATCATTGGATACATCGGGCGAGTCCGTATGGACGGCACAGGTGGTAGAGAGACCATTGTGGATGGTTTAGATAAACCAAGAACAATTATAATTGATCATGAAAATGGGTGAGTTCATTTTACTCTATCAGTCAATGTAGGATAGCTCTTTGGCCAACTTTCTTCATGTTGAGCTCTAACTATGTGTGGAAAGTTATTTTAAAACCAGAGACCAAGTCAAATCAAGAACAGTTGATATTTGACATTATGGAGCACACTGGCACTACGAGGGGTAAAATTCAACCACACACTAGATGGACAATCTTGTCCCATATAGTAAAAGGTATCTGTACGAATTATTTTCGTTATTAAATTAACAGTCAGCTTGGTTGTGCAGTCGCACATTGCACATTGCAACAAACTCTTCAACCGAAAAACACCAACCCCCAAAAAATATTTGTCCATTGTCTTCATATATTATTAACTTACAATAACATTCCCCTACTTTTCAAGATTCATCTACTGGACGGACTGGGGAAATTCGTCGAAGATTGAAAGAGCTGACTTAGATGGAAGTAATAGGATGACTCTAGTTTCTGACGACTTAGTTTGGCCCAATGGCGTTGTGAAAGATGGTAATGTTAACATAAATTCCTTTGAAGTAAATACTTTATTATTGTACTTGCTAAATCTATAAACTTTTGAAGGGCAAAATAAGACGGTGGCGAGCAGCGAAATTCCTAAAAAGGGCACCCGTAAAAGGCCGCTGGTTAAAAAAGGCACTTGTAAAACGCTGTAGAGAAAAGGTCACTTGTATAATGCGGGGGGGGGGGGGTAAAACACCCCTTACCCTTATTTACCCCGCGCTTGCTTCGCCTCTGTACTGTAAATAACGGCTTTGATAACCAGCAAGAAAATATAATGATTCTTTGCCTTGCCTAGGCGACAAGCTGTACTGGTGTGATGCAAACCTGGACAAGATTGAGAGGAGTGACCTATCAGGCAACAATCGAGAACTTCTCATTGACCTGACATCATACTCGAATATCCATCCCTTTGATTTGGCTGTCTACGGCGACTACGTCTATTGGACTGACTGGGGCTACGTAACCCTCATCCGCGTGCACACATCCGGTGTGGGCGCGCAAAATTACGGTCCACATACTTTTCAGCAAAGTGGTGGTCTTCATATTGAAAAAGGTTCGTGGTCTTTTTAAAACAGAAGGACGAACGCCTGGTCGTGGCCCAAGGCCTTTTGTTTTTAACAGGCGCGGATCCGGGGGTGTCATAGACATGTAGATTTTCATAGAAATTCATTACAAATATTGCGAACCCCCCCCCCCATGCTTTGACAACCCAAAGTAATTATGCTGGTCACAATGTCCGGCTGTGCAAAAAATACGGACAGAGCCAGCTTGGTTGGGGGGGGGGGGGGGGGGCGGAATTCTGTCATATTCTGTAATATACACTATTCTGTAACATATTGTTAATAATCGTCGGATTCGAACACCGCCCCAACCCATCCACCTATTGATTTTACGAAGTGTCCGGACAAAAAAATACTGTCTACATTTCAGCCTTGATTTCTGATGACACCCCCCCCCCCCCCCCACACACACACACACACAACCTACAAAAAATCCTGGATCTGCCCCTGTTTTAATTTCACGTGCCGAATACGCACGAGATTAATCATAGACTTTGAAGTAAGCAAATTTCACTTCATGCGTGCCGTGGCCATCATTCCATGGCTTAGGTGCTGCCACTGGAAAGGCCCTGTCACCAAGTGTTGGCGACATTTTTTCCGCTAGAGTAATTAAAAAATAAATTATAATGTTGTTGGTCATCTTTGCAGAGCCCAATTATTGCGACAGTACTCCTTGCCACAACGGAGCCACCTGTGTCGATGTAATCAATGGATTCTCCTGTATCTGCCCTGCTGGTTACCAAGGATTAACCTGTTTTGAAGGTAGCGTTTTTGTTGTATTTGAATTGTTTCTCTCAGTGGTGTATTCTTGTTCTACCATAACACCTGCGGTAGCTTACCACAACGGTATCACCTTATGAATGCTGTCATATATACACGTGACTGTTTCCTTTTTTCCGTGGAGAATCAACATAAAACCGGCTAAGATACACTTCAACAGAAAAGGATGGCATTTTGGATAATCATTGCATGAGCAAGCTTGATTTGTCAGTTGGCCAAGAGACTGAGGTACAATGGTTGAGCAATACAAACGAACAAGTAAAAAATACTTATAAAGATATGTATTGTCCTGAATTATGAAAAGCAAATTTAATTTCGGGCATTTTGGAACTTTTGTAATAAAGTTGTGTGGTTGACCTTTGTGAACGTAACTTTTGTCACATTAACACGCCATTAATAGAAATGGTACACACAATAAAACATCATGGTATCTTAACAGAAGCATTGTTTCCTGTGTGTTTAGATCCCTGTGGTAGTGGACCGTGTGCAAACGGGGCAACTTGCACCATCTTGCCCACCAGCGGGTTCAACTGTCAGTGCCCATCTGGTTACGCTGGACCAACTTGCATGATGGGTGAGAACGTACTTGTCAAATACTACTTGAAAACTGTGTCAATAGATTTCACAGGGGGAGACTTTTTTTAAAGAATGATAAACTCTCATAATATTGTCATACTGTGATGTGAGACATTCTCTGCTGCTTGGGGGTTACAGTTACAGCACAATTAGCGGTGGAACTATAGATGAACCTCCGATTGCTTGAACAAGTCCTGGTCATTACATTCAGCTAATGTGTTCTTTAAAATATAATCATATCTTTACCAGTTGTTCACTGCGTGGTCTCCCTTGACCCATCCGATGTTCTCATGGTGACATCGGGTCAGCGGGATGTATACCTTCCAGGTGAATCGGTTACGTTTGCGTGTCCAGACGGATATCAGTTCGGCGGGTCCGCCACGAGATTTTGTCAGTCGGACTTTACATGGTCCGGACAGCCAGCTGAGTGCATTCAAGAAGGTAATGGATGCTAATATATCACGCAAATGCAGAGGAAATCTCGGAAAGTTTGTTGTTGTTTTTTGTCAGTAGCCACCTCAGCCCTTCCCCTCCTCATGACAAAATTGCATAATGATCTATTCTCGAAGTCCCAGGCGGACAGTAACATGCATAATTGGCACACACTCCCTCTCTTAACGTTTATTTTCGCTTTTGGTCACATCCAACCGATTTTTTTTTTCGTTTTTGTTTAAAATTTGGTTTCAAATTAGTATGATTATCTTTCAAAGTAATAAGAAAACAAAAAATCGGTTTGCAAAAAAGCGTTCAAGTACACTCATTAGTATTGCTCACTTAAATATCTGGAATGATTGCCTTGAGAAAACATAACAAGGGCAGACATTTAAGCAAAACTATTTTACCATTTTTTTCGCAGTGTTGTCTTGTGTTCTACCGTAACACATGCCACCGCTTAATATATCGGTATCACTTCACGAATGGTGGCACTAATTGGCAACGTATACCCATCCCACGATCTCTAAGCAAATTTGTATTGTTTCCGTCAAACCATTAACATTGTTCCCCCTGTCTTTAGATCCCTGTGGCAGTAGACCGTGTGCAAACGGGGCAACTTGCACCATCTTGCCCACCGGCGGGTTCAACTGTCAGTGCCCATCTGGTTACGCTGGACCAACTTGCATGATGGGTGAGAACGTACTTGTAACATACTACTTGAAAAACTGTGTCAAATAATTTCATAGGGGAAGACTCTTTTTAAAAGAATAATAAACGCTCATGATATTTTCAGACTCTGATATGAGACATTCTCTGCTGCTTTGGGGTTACAGTTACAGCACAATATGGCTTTATATGCAGCAGTGGAACCATAGAATGAACCTCCCGATTGCTTGAACAGGTACCGGTAATTACATGCAGCTAATTTTTTCTTTAAAATATAATCATATCTTGACCAGTTGTTCACTGCGTGGTCTCCCTTGACCCATCCGATGTTCTCATGGTGACATCAGGCCAGCAGGATGTATACCTTCCAGGTGAATCGGTTACGTTTGCGTGTCCAGACGGATATCAGCTCGGCGGGTCCGCCATGAGATTTTGTCAGTTGGACTTTACATGGTCCGGACAGCCAGCTGAGTGCATTCAAGAAGGTAATGGATGCTAAGATATCACGCAAAATTTAAAAAAAATACAATGCAGAGGAAATCTTGGAAAGGTTGTTGGCGTCTTCATGTTCCTCATCCATTCCCGTCCTTATGACCAAATTACATAATGATCTACTCGAAGTCTTAGGCGTAAGAATTAAATGCATAATTGGCACACACTCCGTCTCCTTTAGACCGTTTTCGTTTGGGGGCACATCCAACTGATGCTTCTCTTCCTATGTTTCAAATTTTGTTTCTGTGTATGTTCTAGCAGATTTTTCGATTCTTAATTTGTCGATTTTCACTTGGTCACCTGACTGGCACATGCACATGCGCACAGGTACTCAACCACCAAAACACAGCCGTGAAAGGGGAGCTGGACGGTTCTTCTTAAGACGCCACCGAAATTATCGACACTTTTCATATTTTAGTCACTGTTGGTCTTTTTAAGTCGATCATTAGCTTTGTGATTCACTGCTATCTGGTATAAGGCATGTTTAATCTCATCTGGGGTTGACAATAGGGAAAAGGACCATTTAAATGGAGGCTAAATTTGACGCCCTCCACCATTATTTAAACGCTGGCTACAAATTATATTGACTTCCAGCTCAATGTTGAAATTCTGATGAGCATTGAGCTGAAGTTACTCAAGCTACACATGAGTATGAAAAACAGTTTGCAAAAAGGCGTGCAAATTGTAATTACTCAGTGTAGCATCTGGAATGTTTGTCTTGAGAAAACAAAAACAGGTCAGAGCTTACAGCAGAATTGTTTTTACTTTTACTTTGTTTTAACTTTAATGTATGTTATGCAGACCGTTGTAACAGTGGACCTTGTTTGAACGGAGGGACTTGTACCAGCGTACAAGGTGGATTCACTTGCCACTGCCTCGCCGGATACGACGGAGACACGTGCTCAATAGGTAACGATTTCGTCTTAAAATACGATGTTGGTGTAAAAGTGAGCGACGGGTTTTCAAATCCATTCATATTTGATCAATGGAGCACAATCAGTGTCTTTCGTAAAATCTTGGATTAGACTACACTTACATGTTAAACATGGACAAGTATTTGAATTCGATTTATATGTTTCATACAGTCATCGGATGCTTGCCCCCGATTACTTCCACCCACGTGACATTGGTTGAATCAGACATAGCCTTGTTTCAAGCCGGAGAAGTAGCGACGTTCATGTGCGACAGTGGCTATGCTGTTACTGGCTCCACGAACGATCAGTCTGCGACACGTGTGTGTCTGTCGGGTGGCACTTGGTCTGGGGAGCCAGTCTCGTGTTCGCCGACCAGTCCAAACCCTACACCACCAGGTATGTGTCCCAAGTTTCTGATGAAAGAAAAGTCAGTGGACATCCTTTTTTGAATGAGCTTTCTTTTGCCTTCTGAGCTGACTGGTTTTCACTTGTGATTTACTCTTGATTAACTGGATCATAATTCTGGATATCATATTTTCGTAAACATTGCTCCTCCAGTATTTTTTGCAACCTTTGTTGCATGAAAATTCAATGTCAAATTCGAGTCGTGAGTACTTTAATAGTGTTTATCATTGCTTTTTAATTATAAATGGTGTCCGCGCCGTATTTGCGATTTAAAAAAAAAATGTATTTCAGGTTTTTTTTATGCACGTATGTTTCTTTGAACTGTATGCAATGCCGCATCGAGGAAGAGGTATACCTGCACTTAAATTATGGACTTAGAGGTGCGTGCCCTCTAAAAGTGACTGACAGGTTTCCAATTCCATTCACTTTTGTTTAACAGTGCACCATCGTAGTGCTTTGTAAAATCTTTGATTAGACTACACATCTTATCAAACACGGACAAGTACCTCTGTATATTAATTTCTTTCTTTATGTTTGTCGCTATGTGAGTGACATTATTATAATTATTATTTTTGTATTTTAATGACTTCGTTTTATGTATTTTGTGCAGTCATTGGATGCTTGCCCCCGATTACTTCCAACCACGTGACATTGGTTGAATCAGACGTAGCCTTGTTTCAAGCCGGGGAAGTAGCGACGTTCATGTGCGACCGTGGCTATGCTGTTACTGGCTCTAGAAGCGATCAGTCGGCTACACGTGTGTGTCTGTCGGGTGGCACCTGGTCTGGGGACCAGGTCTTGTGTTCCCTGACCAGTCCAAACCCAACTCCTGCACCACCAGGTATGTGCACCAGGTTAACAATGAAATGATAATTTCAAGAGCTCTACCCAGTCACAGAAGGGCATCGGTTATTGCAGCTAGACAGTCACAACACCGATCATCTAGTCTCAAGTCAGTGGACAAACTTTCAGCTTTCTTTTCTGACTTCTGACTTACTCGCGATTAATTCTTGTCAATTTCAGTGATCATTGCTGTCGTACATACAAAGTGTCCGTTGTTATTCTGGAGACATTTTGGCAGTATTCATGATTGCTATTGCTACATCAATCCGGACATGATTTATCATTGTATTCACAATTAAAGTACATTCTGTATCGGATTTAAGGTTCTAATCACCTCTTCCTGAAATACAGACCGATATTTTATGAATAATAGTCTCGTTCTTGCATCCTCTCTGTGTGATACGCTCCAACTAATTATGACTGCACTTTGATATCTGTAAACCATGCTCTTACGCTTCTTGTTGGATCTGCTCTTTTTGATTCTGTTGAACTGTTGAGTAACGGCCTGACATGAAAGTTGATGCTTAATCATGTACTTTCTTTTCTTGTTTCTCTTTCTCCAACTATTTTGCCTCTTTTTCATCTCTTCCCTCATCTTTCTGTCAGCGCTTTTTAAAAATGAAGTGTTTGTAATGACGCTTTTGACTGTTTTGCTCGTATGTGACCGAGATTATTAGCTTTGCCTCAAGTGTTTGGAAACAGTCGTGCGTGTCCACTGTCATCATGTTTACTGATAAGGGATGATACCTCTTGGTCTCTTTTCAGAGAAGAGCTACGTATCCGCCATCGCCGGTGGAGGTTGCGGACTTGCCTTTCTCATACTGGTCCTTTTTGGTGTTCTTGTCGTAATGAAAAGGTAAAAACAAATCGTTTTTCGTCACCTCAGGTGTACCTTCATTGTAAACATTCTCAAAATACTGTATTTGCTTTCCTCCCGAGCTCTTTTGTCACCTAAATGTGATTGTTGCTTTGTTAAACAAACAGGAGGCGAATTCGAAATGGAGACAGAACTGTACGAGTTCCAGTCAATATGGACTTGATTGTTGCAGGCAAAACCAACTATGGAGAAGCACACCACGGATCGGACAATCCCACCCACATATACGAAACCTCGGTGTGTCAATCCTGGCAGGCCCATGGAAATCCTCCTCCACCGCCACACGTGTCTGCTCCCGATCCTATCTATATGGACGTTTCCGATTATGATACGTCTTTGGTTTCCAAAATATAATGCATGAACCATTCAGTTCCTTAAGTATGCATCGCTGTACGTTGAGTATGTTTAATATTGCGGCCTTCTGTTTCACATGTATTCATTAATTTTCAAGTTCAAAGTTAAAGAAATCCAGTGTCGTGATTTTGTTAATGATGGTATAAACTGGTCAAAACAAAACTTTGCACACAGTGTGCAGTCGGGCTCAATTTATGGACCATTAATCTTCGCCATAGAAATGTTAATGGATTTTGTTTTCACATTCTCCCACCAAATTGATCTTTTTTTTTTCATTTCCTTTTCTATGTATTTTATGTCCGACTTGGGAAGTTAACATGTTAATGAAGCTCATCTGAGGGTCGGGCTTGCTTTTATTTCGTAAGGTTATGAGATTAAGGTTATGTGTTATATATAGTCCGATCGATTTATTTACTAGTGATGTCGGAGATGCGGTAGATGACTCGGCGTGTGAAAGGTTATGACTGTTTTGAAAGTTTCTTATCTTGGTAAAGTTTTACTAATAAGAAATCACACCTTTTTTACACAGAATATGCATTGTACAAATTTTAATATGCAAGGGCAGATTTAAACTGTACCTTTGTATTTACTCGGGAAAAAAATACGGCAAAATGTTCGTGTTATATTTACAAAGCTTTTTAACTTTCCGCTTGTATGCCTATATATGATTGTATGCCTATATATGGTTGCATTGCACATGACTGCACTTTATCATTAGGTGTTTTAGCATAGTTAGCTGACACTGTAGTATTTTAGCAAAGATGATAAATATATTCGTGGTAGCCTCCTACTCAGTGTTAACACATAGCTATATGAAGAGTGAAGAGTTGTTTGCATCACTTCAGTGTGCGAGTCCCTGCATGGCAGCCGTGCTGAACCATGCATTATTACATAGATCATGTGCCCTGTGACGTCATTCCAACAGGCAACCGCTGGGCAACCCAAAAGGTTATACAAGCAACTTTTAAATGTTATTTTGGCCATATTAAACAGTATGATGTCAACATACTTATTTTTAACCTCATTATATTGCAAGAGATTTCTAAAACTAGAACCGTTTACTGAAAGATGGTTTACTTGACGATACGACATCCAATTTTGTAAACAAACGTCACATGTGTAATACATGCATGCTCCACTAATGTATTGCCCGTGCATGCATATGGAAAACTTGTAATTATGTTAATGCACATATTGTGTTTACTGCTCATCACGCTAAAATTACTAAAGAAAAGTTTTAACTTCATGGGGGTAGCACCCCCCCCCCCCCACCGATTCGCCCATGCCTAGTCGAAACGACATATTTTCAGACACTAACAGTTCGATAGGTCAATAATTTACATGAAACAGTAGAATTCATGGGTAAACAGTAAAACTTGAAACGTTGGAAGCCATGGGCGTCGCCAGGAATTTTTCCATGGGGGGGGGGGGGGGGGCTAAAGCCAATATTTCCCCAAAATTCCTTAACTTGTTCATTATATTCTCAATTTATCATTTTTTTCGAGCGTGAGAAGAAAGGCATTTGCCCTAACCCCCCCCCCATCAAATTAACAGCAATATGGCTTCGCACCTCTTTTTCCTTGTTTTTTTCTTTTTCCCCCTTTTTTTTTGGGGGGGGGGTTTCGTTTGGGGGGGGGAGTCCCCCTTGCCCCCCCCCCCCCTTGCGACGTCCATGTTGGAGGCAAGCAAAACCTTCCCAGTCTGTCACAAAGCCCGTGACACATTGTGTTGCAATACTGTGTTTACATGTACAGAGTGAGTCCAGAGTGAGTTCACTATTAATTTAGTGAAGTTCTGCATGAAGCCCCTTCAAAATCCATGATATGAAAGCCCAATTCATAAGCTTTTTGTTAGTATAAGTATCATTTAAATCACTTATGTAATTTTGAAGTTACGAAATTTTAAACACAACTACCGTTTTAAAGTTCTGTCCACGGATCACAAATCAAAACACGAAAACAAATCACAGGTGGGTGAATTGTTTTCGTTTTGCTGAAAGAACGCACACCTTTTTTTGTGATCAAAAGACAGAAACGGTGGTTGTGTTGAAAATTCCGTAACTTAAAAAGTACTGATTTGATTTGAATGATTCTTGTACGGAAAGAAAGCTTATGAATTGCGCTTTCATAACCTTGATTTTGAAAGTGCTACATGCAGAACTTCTCTAAAACAATAGTCCCGACCTTAGGGTTTCGCTTTTTTTTACTCACCCTGTATTTCAAATGTAAATAGATATACATGTACAACAAGTCGGCGTGTTCACTATGGATTCTGAAATGATAGATTACCCATACGTTTTGTTGAATCGACTTTGGGAAGAAAAAAAGGGTCAGCAGGAGTCTATTATCACTGCCATTATAAAATCAATCACCCTTGCAATCTGATAAGCAGCCATTCAAGTGACAATTTAAAAGAAATACCGATTCATTGTATAGACGGATTTCAAGTTTGTATTTTTCCAAGCGAGCCAAAATGTATCCCACCTATACATGTACATTCTCCATTCAACCTCCTGCATGACGAGTTTGATACGTACTTTTGTGTTTTTGTATTGTTGTATGTATTATTCTCGAAAAGCTGTTATTGACTGTAAATGACTATTATTTCTTATATAAGAGGCAAGTTCCCTCTTTCCATGCCAAAATTCGAAAGTTATTTGGACAATTTTGAAATTGTCTGATTGAATATAGAAAAGTTTTGGTTTGATTAACAACTATAAAAATGCTATATGATATTACATCTTAAAATAAATCGATGTATACACTTTTGCAAAGTGGTTTTCTAATTTCAATCTCGAAGTTATTACTTAATTTGGGAAAATAAAGACGGAAAATAATCAGAATATACTACGGGGTGAGTCAAAAAAAGCAGAACGCAAACCCCCAAAAATATATTTCATATTTAAAAAAAATATATACCACCACAAATAATAATGACTGGAAAGCCATTGTCATAAGCAACCTTTTGATGATAACAATTAATGAAATTGCTCAATCTGTTCAAAGAAACTCACCATTTAAACCGCAATGACCCTAAAACCTGTTGGGTATTGTGTATTCTGACTCTTAGAAACAACCAAGAAAATAACAACGAATACTTGTTTCAACAACTGTCAACAACTGTAGTAGCCTACACAATATCTTTATTCACAACCCTGGTTAGGAAAAAAAATATGATTTATAGAATCCACTTTTTTTTTTTTTTAAGACGGGCCTTCAAAAGGACTTCGTTGAATATGTTTAACTTTTAAACTGGGTTTTTATCGTTAATGATGTTTCAGACAATTGTGACGACGATTCATCAAATTGCATTTTTGGACGAAAGAGGTTTTAGGGTCATTGTGTTTAAATGGTGTTATTGTGAAGAGAATCACACCGGAGAAAAGCACTGCGGTCACTCGGCAATCATTTATTCGCTTGAAACAGTCCAACAAGCATGGTTTAACAATCACATGTACAATTTTCCTGCTACCAGTACTAATGATTAACAGGTCCAAGTAACTACCAGCATGGCTAAATAAATTCCCATTGTTACCACTTACATGCTAACGGTTGTACAATTCCAATACTACGGATATTCCTACACCTAGAAGCGCAATTGCTTCACCCAAGTCCCAAGGGACTATACGGCTATCCCTACACTAATTTAGAAGCGCAATAACTTCTCACAAGTCCCAATGGACTACGGATATCCGTCCAGTTAGAAGCGCAATCGCTTCTCCAAAAGTCCCAATGGACTACGGATATCCGTACATGCAGTTAGAAGCGCAATCGCTTCTCACAAGTCCCAGGGGACTATAGATCCCTACATTTAAAAGCGCAGTCGCTTCTCGCCAAAATAAGCGCAATCGCTTCTCACAATTAGAAGCCGCGCCATCGTTTTTTGCAAGCTGATAAACGCTGCGGATGAATCACTTATCCGCGGCACAAGAGCCCATGGAGGGAGATTGGCTGAGATCCATCATTCCAAGGATAATGGACGTGAGCCAGCACCCCCGGCGATAGTGGCTCGTCCATTTGTGCTGACCCTTGGCCTACCACTCAAAATTTGACAAATGGACCATCTCACCTCTCTCTCCCTGGGCTCAAACCATCCAAACACCCATACCTCCATTTTTCCATTTTTTTTTTGTTGTGGCCTGGTGAACCAGTTGTGGCCGACTGGTAATTTACCGGAGGCAATACGACACCCTTAAGACATGTGATCAACTAATTATTGTTTCTCCACTAATCCTTGAATAAACCCAAAATCTAGTAAATTTATAATATACACATTACCCAATAATTTGGATCGTGCTGATCTGATTTCGCACCAAGCGTCATTATATGTTACAGCCTACTGTGGATAATTATTAACACAAACTGTGCTTTATCTAATTTGCCAACGTGACAATGCCACGTGTCTTTTCCTATTCCTCTGACCCTTTTCATGTTTAATTTAAATGTGTGTCCACTCAGTGGCGCCAGCCAACGTGAAGTGCAGTTAACGCCTATACAATCGTAAATCCGTAACGTGGAGAAACCAACTATACCGATAAGTCATCGAAGGTGTAGCGTTTTCAGATTATCAATTCTTAATTACCAATTCGTCTTAATTTTTAGTTAATTATCACACTTTAATTATCAATGTTCCTTTTGAACTTTTTAACGATTAATTCTCCTGAATGCATTATTCATCGTTTTCCTTGTATACACATACACCCACACAGTGCCTATGCAAATTGTGTAGTCCCTATACTTTTATACAGAGCAAATGACCTTCACTGCCCACACACAAGTCATTGGTCAGTTTCTTAGTACAACCAAGTTACTTTCAAGATCATTGTTTTAAGGAACTATATTACTCATTCCTAGTCATTTTTCTGAGACTCAATGAACTTGAAACCACGATATGATTAAGTTTTCCCATTCTTAAGTATTTCTTATTCCCACGACTTCCTGTTTCCACCAGTATATAAGTCCTAGCTGCTCCACTAGCAGTTCTTCATTCTATTCTGTTGTCTGTTTCAATTCCATTTCTATTCTGTTTTCTATTCTAGTCTATTTCAGTTCACCCAGTTCTCTTTGTCTCAATTCACTGTAACCAGTTCAATCGATCAATGTGTAAATAACATAATTGTTGTGGAATAAACAGTCACGGTAAACACAGTCCTCAACCAAAGAATTGTGTATCGACTCATCCATTCCCCAACAAATTGGTGACCCAGACACCAGTGAACACAGCAAATTGGCGATCCAGTGATACCGACATGATATGTAATTATAGCCAGGAGTTGATCGGGTTTTGTTTTATGAAAATTCTTGTAAGTTACTCCCACTGGCCACTGCACAATTACGATATGAGCGGCTACCGAATATTGTATAACAACCAATACCCCTTAGGCCTGAACGGCAACGTACTACTATTTGTTTTTAACCAACCTGGTTCAGCAATGCCTACCACAATTCAAATGTTAATCACAATTCAGTAGCAAAATATGTATAATCCCTTCAATAGTCATATGCCCTACTACACTACGAATCTAGCCAACCTGGTACACATAAATGATCGACTACAACTTCAGTAATGCAATCAACCTGGTTTGCGTTTACAACGTGAATATGTGACTCGATTGAAGACAACACTTAATTATATAAACCATAATTGTAGTGAACGACCGTGTTTGTAACCCGCACATATGACTTGTACTCCCCTTAAGTGTACTGCAGGCACCCATTCACAAGTATGGTTCATCTGATAACTCATGCGTTGACGTTAACTTAAATTTTACTTCAACTGGGGACAACCCCTAACCCCTAAGTCATGATCGGTTATGTGTTTCGAGAGCCACAATATGCCTTGACAATCTGGTGACTATTCTGTGACTGAATGCCCTTGATGAGCGTGTGCGGTAATAGTCTTAAGTATTTAGTTCCATATCGCCCCTATATACCTCGTAAGCTACTACATGTATCTCAGTCAACGAACTTTGACCAGGCGGCTCACCGCCATGCTTGGGCTTCATACAA